ATCAATGTAAAAGCTATTTGGGAAATTAGTATAAGACTCTATTTGCCTCATGAGCTCCGCCATTGAGGGAAACCTCTCTTTTGGATTCATGAAGAATAACCAGAGAAAAATATCCATATCACTTCTTGGGCTTATCCTGATAAAAGTCTCTATCGGTTCGAGATTAGCATGGTACAAAATTTCTCTTGGTTTCTAAGTTCAGCCTGTGTAAAAGCATAGTTGGTTAGAGATCATCCCAATAAAAATCTCGATTCAATTCGAAGGATATCCAACTCAAAACTCCATCTTGGTTTGATATCATCAATGTGAAAAATCTCAGTTTGGCTTAGAGACTAACCGCTCAAAGTTCTGTTCGTTGTTTGCCATGAAGAATAATTGCTTCACTCCTCAGTTTTATGTTTGATTGGAAGTTAGCCTGGAACTTCATTTCCTTGTATATGGGGGTTTGTGGGATTAACCTTATAAAAGCTCTCAAGAATTATTGATACTCTCAAGATTAATTCTTAGGGAGATATGTCATTTCTTTAAGACTGAATCTCTATAAATTCCTGGTGTTATCTCTCTTCCTTTTAACTCTTTTATTTTCCGCCTAATTTATACTACATATTCACGTGTTTTCATTAAAAAAATTAAACTCTATTTTAGAACATAATTTTAAACTATCATTCTTCAAACTTCAATAATTCACTCCCCTTCTTGTGTATACAATCATATGTTCAACATTATCTAGATGCGTGGAATCTTGTGAAGAATGGTGTTATTCTAATTAGTGATTGTGACATTATTTATCATAATAATACGCATAAGTAATTAAAGAAGAAGAATTATAAATTTCTCTTTATAATTCACCAATGTGTTGATCCTGATAAATTTGAGAAGGTTGGAGATGTTGATTCATCAAAGGAAGCATGTGATATATTGGAGTAGTCATTTAGGTGGTGTTGATAAGGTGAAGAAGGTGGGGGTTAAAAACTTACAATAGTCTATATGAATTTATTCAGATGGAAGAAAATGAAAGCATGTGTGATTTATTTACAAGAGTGACTAGGTTGGTGAACCATATCATGGTGTGTGGTGAGTTGATGTAAACCAAGTTGGTAGTTGCAATATATTGAGATCTTAATCCCTAATGTTTGATCATATTATGATGGCCATAGAAGAATCCAAATATTAGTCAAGTTTTACAAAAGAATAAGTGCAAGGGACTCTTGAATCTCATTAATAAAAAATTGTGGAGAGATTTGCAAGCAATGCAAAAGCAGATGTAGAATTAAAGACACAGTAAAAAAAGATAAGAAGGGCTTAGTAAAATGGAATGGAAAAAAAGGTAGAGGATATTACAATAACTGGATTGGTAGAAACTATCAGCAAGAAGCCATTTCATCAAATCATAAACAAATTGCAAATCAAGGTAGCCATAAAGGTGGTGGTAGAAATAAAGGTAGAGGAGGAATAAAGAATCTTGACAAGAGTAACATCCAATATTACAAGTGTCAAAAATATGGTCATTTTGCTGATGAATGTTATGGAAGCAAGAAAAGTCAAGAAGATAATGCTAAGCTGGAAAAGCATAAATATAAGGATGTGTTGTTGACAGTAACAACAAAGGAAGGAAAAAATATAGAGACCAATGGTAATTGGATTTAGGATGTTCATCCCACGTGACTGGAATAAAAGAGTGGTTTGTCAACATCAATCAATCCATGAAGAATAAAGTAAAGTTTACAAATGATAGCTTATTGGTAGTAGAAGGCATTAGTGATGTCTTGATCATGAGGGAAGATGGAAAGAATTCATTTATCTCAAATATGTTATATATTCTAGTATGAAAAGTAACCTACTCAACATCGACCAATTAATTGACAATAATTGTAAGCTTTTGATAGAAGACAAGATTATGAGAGTACATGACTCAATTGGAAGATTGATTTTGAAGGCACTTATGTCAAGAAATAGGACCTTAAAGATTGAACATGATATGTTTTAGCATAATTTCCTAGCAACTGCAACTAGCAGGGATGAGTGCCTATGACACTATAGGCTTGGCCATATCTAATTTAGAGATATCAGTCACTTGAAGAAGCAAAACAAGGTTTCAAGGTTGCCTGAAATTCATATTCACAGTCAAGTATGTGAAGAATGTGTACAAGTCAAGCAACATGATAATAGCTCCAACAAGGATGCAATAGACGGGTATAGAATCACTCTTAAAGTCATATATGATGATGTGTATGGCCCAATTCAAGTTGAATCTATTGAAGGTAACAAGTACTTTGTCACATTCATAGATGATTTCAGGGAAAAATTATGGACATACTTGATAAATAAGAAAATTTATTTGATTGATGTATTTTTAAAGTTCAAGTCCATGGTGAAAAGGCAAAGTGGTCACAAGATCAAGGTGTTAAAAACAAATGGTGGAAATGAGTATGTGTCAAGTGAATTTGATGCACTATGTGAAAGAGATAGAATTGTTCCAAATGTTATGCCACCATATACACCTCAACAAAATGTGATTACATAAACAAAGAACAAGGCCATTATGAATATGGTGAGAATAATATTGAAGGGAAAGCATTTACCTAATAATCTGTGGGGTAAGTTTGTGCCCACTCCAACTAAAATCTTGAACATATGTCCATCCAAGAGACTAAAGGGGATCACAATAGAAGAATATTGTATGGTGTCAAACCAAGCTTGAGTCACTTAAAGGTGTTTAGGTCTAGTGCAGATATACATGTGTCTGATCAATTCAGAAGGTAACTTGATAAAAAATCAAGCCAAATGATCTTGATTTGTTATCACTCAATTGATAGTTGCAAATTATTTGATCCAATGAATATGAAAACAGTAATCAGTAAATATGAGGTTATAGATGAGCTGGAGAAATATGATTAGAGAAATAGTGCTAAGAAGGATTCAATGAGGATCATGTATGAAGAATCAAGTATTGAAGTTGAAGTCCATACTCAAGAAAGTACCAATTGGAGTCAAAGAGCTATAAATATGCCATCCAGATTGTAAGATTGTGTAGTCAGTCAAGATAATGTCGTCGATGATTAAGGTGGGCTAGTACACTATTAACTTTATGCAGACATTGAGCCAGTGAGTGTGACTAAAGCATTAAGGGATCCTAAATGGGAGAGTGTTGTGAAAGAGGAGTTGGAGTATATAGAAGTCAACAAGACTTGGTCAGTAGTTGATTTACTATAAGGAAATAAGGCAATTGATGTGAAGTAGGTATACAAAGTAAAACTAAGTCCTAACAGGGAAGTGATCAAATACAAACAAAGGCTTGTAGGCAAAGGGTTTCTTCATAAAGAATGAGTTGACTTTAATGAAGTATTTGCACTTGTTGCTAGGATTGAAACAATAAGATTGGTTGTTTCCTTAGCCAATATCAACAAATGGTCCATATGTCAGATAAATGTAAAGTTTGTTTTATGAATGGTCCTCTAGATGAAGAATTGTGTGTCATAATCAGTTGGTTTTGAGAAAGAAGGCCAATAAAATAAAGTGCACAAATTGTATAAGGCATTGTATGGACTTAAACAAGCTCGAAGATCTTGAAATAAGAAAATTGATGATTTTTTAATAAAGATAGGTTTCATGAAGTATGCATCAGAGCATGGTGTGTATGTCAGGAGGAGCAACAATAATAAATTAATAATATTATATCTATATGTAGATGACTAGTTAATCACAGGAAGTTGTGATAAGGAAATTAATTTCAAAATGGACCTAATGAAGAAATTTGAAATGATTGATCTTGTCAACATCTCACATTTTCTTGGAATTGAGTTTTACAAATATGTTTGAGAATTGTTGATGCGTCAAAGAAGATATGCAAGTAAGATATTCATGAGATTTTAGATGAAGCAAGGCAACTTTACATTAACACTAGTGGAGCCAATTGACAAAGAACTTAGATGAAGGTGACTTCATTCAACTCAATATAGAAGGCTCATTGGACTGTCTTTGTCACATAAGACCTGGCTTTGTATACAGTGTAGATATGATGAATAGGTTCATGCAAAAGTTAAAGTGGTCATCTACTAAGAGGATATTAAGGTATATTAAAACCATGTTGGATTATGAAATCATGTTTCAAATAATAGATGATGGAAGGGAGTGCATACTTGTTGGATACATTGACTCTAATTGGTGTGGTGCTAATGATAGAAAATCAACATGATACTTGTTCATGTTAGGTGTTGAACTAGTCGCTTGGAGCTTAAGAAAGGAATTTGTTGTAACTTTATACTCATGTAAAGCATAGTACATTGCAACATCACTATCTTCTTATCAAGTTATATGGTTGGTGAATTTGATGGATAAAGTTGAAGACAAATTCCATAATTTGATGGATGAAGTTGAAGGCAAATTCCATAGAATCATGACCATGAAGTTTGACAACATATACGCTATAAATTTGGCCAAAAGTCTTGTTAGAGATGGCAGGAGCAAATACATCTACATAGAGATGAGATTCCACTAAACACAGATGAAATTCCACTATTTTACAAACCAAGTAGCAATGGAAGAATGTGACAGCATTATAAAATTCCACTTTTGAAGCATCATATAAACTATTAGCTCATTAACACCCTAAAAATTCCACGGGCTAAAGCATGCAAAGATAGTACCGGCAGCTCTTCAAAGAACCCATAAAGCGTTTGCATCATATCATATTTGTCCTTTCCTACGTCTCCTCCCTTCTCAAAGAGTTCTTCGAGTTTTCAACTTGGGAATTCTTGATTGTGGTTATCATCACAAAGTTAAAAATTGACTCGACAGTAACAATTTTGGATTCTTGTTGAAAAAAGGTCAACTCTCTCCAAATAAATTGGAATCTAGTAAATTAATTGGTTTAATACTTTCGATAATGAAGAAATTAATTAAAACGGTAAATATGTATGTAAAATAATAAAACGTTATTATAAATTAATACAAAAAACTAAGTCGAAAGCATAAAACTTTACAACATCAAAACGAAACTCTCATTTCTTTCCACCTCTCTTAACAGAAACCTTCTTCACTGGAGTCTTCACGCTTTTAGCCTTAACGCTCTTAACCGGAACTTTCTTTGCAACCTCAACTTTCTTCGCAGCGGCAACTTTCTTCCCCGGTGTTGTCTTAGCCGATGTCTTTGCAACCTTCGCTGGCTTCCCCTTGGACTTCGGTTTCACAACTGGCTTAGCCTTGGCAGCAACTTTAGTCTTCGCAGCAGTTGGTTTAGCCTTAGAAGCAACCGTTTTGGGCTTGGCAACAGCTTTTTTGGGCTTGGCTGCTACAGCTTTGGCCTTTGAAGCAACCTTTGGCTTGACAGCAGCTTTAGCTTTTGGCTTAGCGGCTGGCTTAGCCTTCACGGACTTTGCCTTTGCAGCTGGCTTTGTCTTCGGCTTGGCGACGGCAGGCTTCTTAGCCGCTGAAGAAAGCTTGAACGAACCTTTAACCTTAACAAGCTTTCCAGATGCAACTTTTTTCTTCAAATTTTGAAGCAATAGCTTCTTGAAGTTAGCAGGAAGCTGCTTGTGTTTCTCTTCAATGAATTTCGCAATCGCGTATTGGCTCGAGCCACTCTTCTCCTTCAGCGAGACTATCGCGTCCTTAATCATCTGAAATTCAATAAACAAATCAGATATCAGATCCAATTGAAAATAACAGAATAACAAAAATAATGAGGAGAAATTGAAATGATAGAAGTGAAATGAGTGAAACCTCTTCGTAAGAAGGATGGGAAGCAGGGTTTCGTGGTTTGGAAGCTTTCTTAGGCTTGGACTCCTTCGTTTTCTTGGTCTTCTCTACTTCACCAGTTGGTTCATCCTTCTCCGGGACCTCAGGCTCGGTGACGGTTGGTTCGGTCACAATTGGTTCGGGAACTGATTCCACCGCGACAATTGGTTCTTCTGTGGCCATGGTAAAACTAATTGAACGTGTATGAAAAGAAATTGATGAGTGCGAGTTACTTCTGATTAGTGAGTATTAAACTTGTTGCGTGGAAAATGCTTAGAATTTAGATTGTTTAAATAGTGAAGTGTGTTTGGGATGATATCCGGTTGCTTAATTCTCATTGGTTCAGGGAACTCGACAAGGATCGATACCTTCATTTAGTTTTAATGTGAGCCCTTCGATGAGGCTTCTATCGACGGTTGGTTTTTATTGATCCGTGAAGAAAAAAATGAAGGAATGTTAGATTGGGGTGTCGGTTGTTTTAGTTGTGCTTTTGAGCTAGATTCATTTAGTCATAACTTGAGCTGTGGTTTATGGATTTGGATGATTTTTTTTACATCTTCTAGGATATTTTATAAGCTTTCTAACGAGTGTTTCAGCTTGTAGAATGGATTGGTGGTCTTGGAGAATTTCTGTTTTGAAGGCACAAAGGTCATGACTAGGATTTTTTGTGATGTGATCAAGGTTTTTCTCTAATTCAGGAGAATGCTTGCATCAGGAGTTTTATCAACCTACTTCTTGTGATAATAGATTAACTTAGGATTGTATTGCAACAAAAATCATGAAAAATTGATGAGATTTGAGTATAGAACAATTGTCTAAAAGGTCCATGAAATTGAACAAGTCCTTAAAAGAAAACTTGTATTCTCAAGACAATATAGAACACACTTGTTACTCATAACATTATGTTGAATTGTCACTCATTTACACAAAATTAATATTTTCTTTTAATAAATTAATAGTTTTACAGCATAGTTAATTAAGTCTTAAAAGTAAATTGCAGTATGCTAATGCAAACTTATGTAGTATATTTGAAGTCAATGTCTTGTTTACTTTGTGAGAGGAAAATTTTAAATTTTGTGCTGAGTTTATTTGTTTGATAATGAGATAATAAAGTTTTAAAATTATCATTGTGTGTATTTTTTAAGATCGTTAGAAAAATATTTTGTTAAACAAAATAATTGTATCTATCAATATATATTGATGCTAAAATAGTTTATGTATAAGATGATGTACAAAAATAAGAATAGGTTCAAAATAAATTTTTCTTAAAATTGATACTATAAATTATCATGAGAAATATCAAAATAAAGAAAAATCACAGACATATCAAAATATATTATCATAATCTACATAATGTATTTATGTTATGATAAGACTTATATGTACAAAATATAATGAGCGTTAAGAAAAGGTATTGTCTCGTATTCATGAAGCTTTTATACATTGCAAGATATTATAATCTCATCTCTTTTTTCTTCACTGCATATGTTTATAAAACTTTTTCATAAATTATTGCAATTAATCATAGATATTTTTCAAGCATTATTTCAAATCACCTCTTCCTATCTTATTTTTCAAACAATTTATCTATTATTTATTTGTTATAACTTTTTAATACAAAATCTTTGTACATAAATTTCATACATCATATAAAAGTTTCTTAATAATATTGAGCACTTAAGATTTACATATTCTTGAACTGTATTCTAGTGGAAGAGAATATCAAAATTGTTATATCTTGGAATTCAATCCAAATTGAAAAGATTATTCAAAATTTTATTGATAATTTGTATAGATCATCAAGTGTGTGGTGACATTTGTTTGTAATAGAAAGTGGTGTGTTTTCTAAATATTATAAACATAAAATGGTGTGTTTTCTTCTTTATGTGATAATCAACACAGTGTTAGTGATTATTGGAAAAGATCCTTCAATTCCTTCCTTAACTTTGAAAATCCATTTACAACTAACTAATGTGGCTCCAGCAGGTTTCTTAATCGGCTCTCAAGTGTTGTTATCATGAAGAGATTGCATCTCATCATCCATGGCCTTCATACATTTTGTCTTATTTCGACTCCTCATAACTTCCTTATGGTCTCTAAGTTCTTTATCTAGAACCTCACTTGCAGAGATTAAGGCATAAGCTATAAGATCTACATACTCAAGTCTCTGAGGTGGCTTGATGACTCTTATCGTCATATCTCTTGCCAATAGGTAGCAATCGACAGTTTCATCAACTTCTTCAGTATCTTCTACTTCTTCTTCGAATTCATCTGGGATACGAAATTCAGCATCAACATGCTCCACCTCAATAGGAATCTCTTCATGATCCAACTCTTCGTCGAATATTTCTGCACTTCAACCAACATCATCAGTTTTCTTGAAATTCATTTCAGCTTCATTAAAAAATAAACCCCGACTCGTGATACTCCTCATAGCCTATAAGCTTTGACTCCTCCAGGGTATCCCATGAACATGTATTTCAGAGCTCTGGGTTCGACCTTTTCTTGTCTAATGTGAGCATAGGCTACACGATCAAATACTCCAAGTTTGTTGAGATCTGGTGGATGTCCCAACCAAACTTCTTCAGGTGTCTTCATATCTAATGCAGTCGAATGACATCTGTTTATCAGATATGTTGCTCATCATTTTCAAAATTGTTTTCTTTGTGTTTGTGAGATTTGAAAAGTTTTTGTTTTAACTTCGATTTAACTCTTGCGTCTGTCTTCAAGAGTGTAATGAAGTATTTTTGAAAACTTGTTTGTAAAAGAGTGTAAGTGTGAAAAATGTTTTGTTTGGATGAGCAAGTATCTAAGAACTAATCTACCTACTCGAAAAAGGAATCGTTCTATGTTTGTTTCCTTTAGACAATGCTATCCCACTATTAGTGAGTGGGTAGCACCGTCGTTGGAGTTTGAGGGTCAATTTGAAAGAGGGACATACGGTCACTAAAGCAATGTTAGGACGTCTTAGCGGTAACCCTAATGTCTTAGATCATCTATTCGAGGCAACAATGTCCGAGGCAACCTTTTCGAGGCAACTATGATCTTTTAGACAAGAGGGTGATCTCTAAAACAACCTATACTCAATGACCGTTTACGAAGGCAACCAAGTGGGAGTGTACCCTAGGAGTGCGCATGTGCGAGTGTATTGATTTCAGTTATTTTTATCTTTACACATGTTTAGGGTGATCTAACTGTTTTAAATTAGACAATTCATTCTTGTCATGCAAACCCTATTATCAAACATCTAGCAGTTGTATATTTGCAGAAATTAAAGGTGCGGAATTTAAACTAAATTATTACAAGGCGTCGGGTATTTACATCGCCAAAAACAACCCTTTGAAATTAAAAGCAGTAGAAATAAATAAATGTCCTAATTAAAATTATTACAAGCCGGGAGGAGATACAATAATTTGAATAAAGAAAAATAAAGCGCACGAGAGAATTGAATTGAATGCGAAACTAGGGTTTTGACCCTCCTAATTAAAAGAAAACATTTTTTGTCGTTTTTATTTTTTAAGAAAAGAAATTAATTCCTAAAATTAAATGCTAAATTAATGAGTTATTAAATTAATAAATTAAAAATAATTAAATGACATATTTTTGGAATTTTGTTAATTTAGGAAAGAAAATAAAATAATTAAATTAATGTTAAAACCTAGTTATTCTAATTGATTTTTAATTATTTGCAAAATAAATGAAAATTACCTAAAATTAACCTAATTAAATTAATTAATATTTATTAATGAAAAATAAAATTCTAAATTTATTTGGTCATAAAAATATTTTTGTGATTTTTGATAAAAAAGAAAATTAATTAATTGTTAGTAAAAATAATAAAATTAATTAATTAAAGAAAAATATAGAAAAAAGAAGTAAGAAGTGAGAAATGGGCCTGATTTTAGGGTGTGAGTAGCAGTTTTCTAGGCCCAATTGAGGAGATCCGTTTTAACTTTCTTGATCATGTGCATTACGTTTGACTGGCCCTTTGGTGCACCCTCAGTGGTAGCCACCAGATCTGGCCATCTGGCCATCTGGCGCATGGATGATGAAGGAGTATGGTGGGCGCCTGGCTTATGCATGCATTGAATCACCTGAAATAATTAAGAAAAATAATAAATGTTGGAGGCAGGGATCGAACCCCTGACCTCCAGCCTCCCACGCCTTGAACGCACACCTGGTAACCACTACGTCATGTTGTTCTTATTGTTAATATAATGCAAACTAATAATAATATAAGAAAATAAATATTAATGGATAATTGTAACAAAAAGCGCACCAGATTTGAATAGGCCTATGGGGGAGCGACACTTCATCGTCTCCTTCCTCTGCACCGTGGCTAAAAATTCAAAGGGGTTATACCCACGGACAGTGTCTGTCGCTACAAGTCATGTTCGTTCCAAAATCTCCTACAGGCCACATAAATGGAATCTAACACCATGGTTAGATTCGTCTCGTCCTCCTGATCACAACCATAGCCATTATGAAGGCTAATTGTTCCTGAAACAAAAAGCCCTAAACCAAAGCTTGAAAACCTAACAATGGTGAGTAACGGCACGAGCTATATAAATGGAATCAAATATTGCAGAAAGTTTACAAATGCTTCATAGGTTAAGAATATGCAATTATTTCACACTATGGATACAAGAACAAGGCTATTCGAATTCAAGAAAAGGGTGATACCGCCATGGACTTACAGTGCGTGGGAAGGCTTGAAAGCACTTAGTTTTGATTGCTTTAGGTTGTGGAGACTGCCAAGAAACGATTGGGACAGATACCAAGCCTTGAGGACGCATATAACTACCAATTTGATCTCACAATTTTTGCTTGTTTTTGCCAATTTTGTTCTTGCTCTAGCGCGCCTCTCTAACCTTCCTTTTGATCTGCCTTGCCTCCTTATGTATTAGACAATGCATTAGGGTTGTTAAACTGATCAAAATCTTCTTCTTTCAATGCTTTGGATATGGATTTGATTTGCTTTGAATATCTTTCCAAACATGGCTTATTTTGAATCTTTTTGTTCACTCAAGCATTGATGCGAATTTGAATGCCTTGCTAGCTGTAATTAGAGCCTGAAACAATCAAAAGATCATTTGTTATCAATGCTTTGGATTTTTATTTGATTTATTTTGATTTAAATCAAATTAATTCAAATAAAAAACAAAATAATTAATAAAAATATG